ACCCGCAGCCAGCAAAGTCTCCCTCGGAGTATTTATATTTTTCCTGTCCAATTTGTATTCCGGACGGACGCTGTATTTTATTTTATATACCTAGTTGATGCTCATGAACTTATGACACCGGATTTTGGGTCGATTATGGATTGCGCTGTATGGAAATTATTGTAAAATGTTATCATTTACTATGTAAATTCCATCTCCTACTATTTAATGGAAGGAAAAATATGATTTTTAAAATATTAAAATGAGAACCAAATTTAGTATTTATTGTTGGCTTGCCTGACAGCGGTGTCCGGCGCCATCACGACCTTTAATTAATTTTGGTTCATGACAGTTTGATTACAAATTAACAGTACAATGAAATGAAAAGACTCCAAGGGACTGCGACGACCAAGCAGCTCTACCTTGAATCCTTACGATCCCGCTTTAACTCTGCTCAAGTCCGATATCTCCAATACCTGACTCTGCACAAACATGTACAGAAGTGTAGTATGAGTACACCACGGTCGGTACCCAGTAAGTATCAAGACTAACCTCAGTAGAGCAGAGACGAGGTACAATCAAGATACTCACTAGTCTAATAGCATGTGCAATATAATATACAAAATAATAGAAAACAGATAACAATAAGGGCATGATAAAACAACTAGTGATATGCACAGCAAGACAACAAGCAAACCATAAATATCACTCAACAATTAATAAATACTTGTACGCCTAATTAATTCAAGTTTTTCAAAAAAATATCTTTCACATATAATTCTTCCAAATAACTCTCTTTCAAATATTGTTTTCTCAAATAATTATCTTTCAAATATAATTCTTTCAATAAATCTATTCAAATATAATATCCTCAAATAAATATCTTTCAAATACAATTATTTCATATAATACCTTCTAAATAAAAATCCTTCCAAATAAATATTTTTAATATAATTCTTTCAAATTAAAAAGTCACCATGTGACACCTCATCTCATAATCATAAAATATACGGGTTTCAGCCCAATTTCATATTTTTCGTAAACACGGGTCTCATCCCATTTTTCATATTTCCACGGCACTTTGTGCCCATCATTAAATCATAGTATTTTTCCGGCACCTCGTGCCCTTATTTCATATCACAACTGGATGGACAATTCACGTACCAAATATCATTATCAATTAATCACAGTACCTTGTGCCCACATTTCATATCACAACTGCATGGATAATTCACGTGCCAATATCCTCATTATTTACTCGCAGCACCTCGTGCCCACATTTAATTTTATAATCTGTCTTGCAATAGCCACAGACTCCCAATTTCAACATAAATCAGATTATTATCAATTTACCAACAACAAGACAAATTGCACAAGGTATAAAAACAAACACAAGAAAATTACAACATGACATGAAAATCACCAACACCACAACTCCACATCATCACATATCGTCCCTGACAATAGCCACCCTTATCTCTCCTATAGCCACCCTTATCCCTCCGCCCTGACAATATCAATAGCCACCCTTATCGCTCCTATAGCCGCCCTTATCGCTCCGCCCAGACAGTATTCCAACAAACACAATAACAATGAAATGCCACCCTTATACCCATAGAATATCAATGGTGAAATGTCATCCTTATCTCCTCGAAATAATAACTCACATAATACAATAATTTACACGAAAAATTATCACGGCAACATACAAAATTAATTCATATCACGATTTGGCCCAATGGCCACAACCAAAATTTCAAAGATACAACCAAGTCAATTAATTTTACAACAAATAGACGAAGGCTCCACACTTTGTGTATAACACCCCAAAAACAATCAACAGAGATAGAAATTACTCAGAATAAAGCAAAACCTTCATTAATCCAAATTTAAATAATTATATTAACCCTTTCTTTTTAAACCTGCTTAATTAATTATTTGCATAGGGAAAATTCATTTTTAAATTCAGTTCCAAGAAATATTAAACCAACAATACTCACGAAATTTCATAAATATTTCAAGTAACAATCACATCAAATTGTCATATAAAAATAAATTTAACAACAAGGATTTAGGCATGGCAAACAAATAATTTAATAATTATCTACAATTACCCAATTTACTACACAATAATGCCGAAGACTTTAATCCAATAAAATTTGCATATATAGGCCCGAGTACGTACTCGTCACCTCGAGTACGCGGCTTTTCACATTTCACCAATGGCACATAAAACTCGATGCCTAAGGGGTAATTCTCACACTCGAGGTTAAGCAAGACACTTACCTTTTTGAAGTTAGGCCGATATTCCAAAATAACCTTCTTGCTTGAATTAACCTCCGAACAGCTCAAATCTATCTAAATTAATTGTATAACTTCATTAAAATTTATTAAAAATAATTCCGGATAATAATGCGTCGACTTAAAAATTTATTCCAAAAAGTCAACAAAAGTCAACGCGGGACCCTGCCCTTTGGAACCCGACATAACTTTAATGAAATCCGAACACCCATTCCGATATGAGTTCAACCATACCAATTTTATCGAATTCCAATAACAACTCGACCTCCAAAGCTTAAATTTTCTTTTTTGGAAGATTTTACAAAAATCTTGATTTCCTCCATTTAAATCCGAGTTAAATGATGAATATAACAATACATTCATGAAACATAATCACTTTAGGATATAGAATATCTACCCCAACAAAGCTTGTGAAGAATCCCTCCAGAATCGCCCAAATCTGAGCTCCAAAATTCCAAAACGAAATGCCAAAAATGGCCAAGTTCCATCCTTATGTTTCTGCCCAGTTTCGCACTTGCGGACCATTTTTGTCGCTCTTACGAGCTCTCTTTTGCGAGCGAAGACTCATTTCTGCGAAGACCACTGCCAACAAACACATCGCACCTGCGTACTCCTTTCCGCTTCTGCGCATTCGCAGGTGTGATGCAACATGCGCATCTGCGCAAACAGCCGCTTATGCGCCTTCCTTTCCTGCTCCTGCGGTTCCGCAGGTGCGGGAATTTCTTCGCACCTGCGACCACTTCCATGTCCTTCCATCTTTGCTTCTATGATGGCTCCCTCGCTTATGCGTGGTCGCACCTGCGCCCAAAATTCTGCGGGTACGATGCCAATAGCTTCTGCCCAGAAACAATAGAAATTCCCAGCATTTTTAACAAGTCCAAATTCGATCCGAACCTCGTCCGAAACTCACCCGAGCTACCCGGGACCTTCTCCGAATTTATCAATAAGTCTCATAATACAACCTGGACCTATTCTGGGTTTCAATTTACATCAAACAATACCAAAATGATGAATCGCGCACCGAATCGAATTATAAGTTTTTAAATCTTTCAACTTCTATATTTTGCGCTAAAACGTATCAAATCAATCCGGACTGACTTCAAATTTTGCACACAAGTCATAATTGAGGGTAATGGAGCTATTCCCATTTCCGGAATCGAAATCCGATCTTGTTATCAAAAATTCACCCTTCGTTAGGATTTTTCCAAATATTTTCTATTTTTCAACTTTCACCAAATTGTATCGAATTGTCCTACGGACTTCCAAATCCGAATATACGCCAAAGTCCGAAATCATCATACGAAACTATTGACATCATCAAAATTCTATTCCGGGGTCGTTTGCTTAAAAGTCAACTCTCCGGTCAACTCTTTCCATTTAAGCTTCTAAATAAGAATTATTCTTTTAATTAAATTCCGAATCTTCAGTAAATCAAATTCGACCACACTCGCGGGTCATAATACATATTACAAAGCTGCTCGAGACCTTAAGCCACTGAACGAGGCGCTAATTCTTAAAACAACAAGTCGCGTCATTACAATTTAAATTCTAGACTCACCTTCGATCACGATCTACACTAGGGGGTCATGACGGGTGAATAGAAAGAATTAACTTAAATTAAAAGGATGTACTAGTGCATCAGTTCTCACTTGCATCGTCAAAAAAATGTGGCACATGAACTGTAGTAGTAAAATAATTTAACCTTGTTAATCAAGCATGCAGAGTAAGTAATTAAAATGATGTCAATTCATTAATTGAGTCACATGCAAAGGGTCTTCCCAAAGGAGTATAACAAGCAGATGAATGCTATATAGAGTGCCGGTTAAGGAACATAATTATGTTTAGGGATTTCTACTGCAACATGATATAGTCATACACACTAAACGCTAATGAGAAACTTCCTAATATATAGTGGAATAAAAATATTAATTTTTTGTAAAATCATAATACCCAATTAGAATCCAAGCAAGAGAATGCGTACAAAATAAAAATCTATAATTTCCTTTGATAGAGTGAATTACGTGTAGCTTAATAATATGGATTTAAGTTATATACACTAATATTTTAAATATATTTTATATTATTAGTGAATTTTAATATGTGACAGTAGGTTAATTATCATTTTCATCAAACAATGAAGTAACGCTTACCAAGAGATTTACTTATAATTATCTATTAATTTATCTAATTGTATAAAAAAAATTACACCATCAACGATAAAACTTAAACTATAATAGAGACATATTGTAGTAATCGTATTCAAATCACAAAATATAATCACTTCTAGAAAATATCAATTTTTTGACCACCAAATCCTTTGAAAATCAGTCGGGAGTCTATTATTTTCGACAAATTTCTTACGAAATTCAAGTGATCGAAAAATTGATGGTTGTAAAATATTTGGGATCGAATCGGTCGGAAACTTACGGGCATCTTCAACCTTCAACCTCCATATGCATCTTTTGAGAACTTGATCAACACAAAGTAGAGCAACTTGGGAGCACAATTTACAAGGTATTGAAATACTTTTTTTAATTAGAAATAGTGGGGCAGAAAATAATTTAAATTATTTAAACTGCATTATTTACAAGGGAAAGCGAGCCTAAGCAACTTAAATATAAGACAAGTTGATTAAAAAAAAACTATTATAGTCCATCTATTGAGCTAGATCATTACAGAAGAAGTCTATAAATTACGTTCTTTAGGAAATAAAAAGCTACAGTTAGAAACACTATTTCCTAATATGGTGTTGTTTAAGCTTGGCTTCATTCTCACTATTCTTCTCACGGCAACCACAAGTTAGTATCCATTCCTTTTTGTTTCTACATTGAAATAATATTATTACTAGAAGAAGCTCGTGGGAAGGTCAAAGAAAGAACTTGTTCTTCCAGACGTTAAGAATTCTTCCAATAATTCCGAGTTCGATCTTTTCAAAAACGCGCGTACAGAACTTTTGTGTTTTCGAGCTATAGTTCTAGCACAAAAAAGTCGAAGTATATACTTTATTCGATATAAAGTCTTTTTTTTTTTGGAAGATCCGCTATAATAATGAAAATATTTCTGTATGTACGCCCAAATCGGTCAATAATATCAGAATCTGATAAATCAGACCAAACTGGTTTACTAATGGGATGCCCTAATATGGTGCAAAAGTTTGCTTTAGCTAATGATCCAATCAAAGGAATAATTGAAATAAGGGTATCACTTCTTAATTGCATTAATGATTCGCTATATATGACTATACATATTTTGTATATACAGCAGATACACGTATGTTCCTAGCATGTTGCTTGAATGTGTTTAATTCATGTTATATTAAACATAATTGATTTTAATTCTAATTTTAAAATATTTCAGTGAACGTGTTATGGTTCTCAAAGACAAATGTGCTTTCTCAAGAGTTGAAAGGCGTCTACTCCCTCAACTTAAAGATGCTCTAACTTGTGGGAGATGTTGTGAAACCAACAACGACTGCAATGATTGTTGGTTTTGCTGTAAGTGTGATGTGCTCCATCGTTGTGACGTAGTTACTGGGTAAAGTCTGTGCATATTGCACATTATTGTTCAAATGCGACGAACTCTACTACTATTTCCAATTACGAATTTACCTTTTCGTGTGATTTCATTTTTTTTTTTCATTTCAATGTTTCCTTGTCTTTTAGATTTTGTACGAATAAAGAAGAAAGTTAAGTGAATAACTTTCTATTTGGAAATGTGAAAGGATTGACCGGCGTGGTGAATTTTAGTACTTTGTATCTGTTTATAATTTTCATGCATTTACCAATTTATTTATCATCTTTTACGTACCCTTTTCGTTTCTCTGATGTAGCACTTTTTTATCCAACAATGTTCTAATTTTTATTACGATCCAAACTAGGGGTCATATGACTAATTAATGAATAGAAAGGATTAAGTTTAGAGCTCCGTCTTGAAAAGAATAGCTAAAAATAAAATAAATAAATAAATAAAAAGCAAAATTCACAGAGGATACATTAATGAAAGAAAAAAATTAAAGTAAGAGTTAAGTTACATTGCAAAGTAAACGGGGAAACTCATAAAGAGCATATATAAATATGGTATTAATAGTCCCTAGCTAATTAACCATGAGAAATAAGATCTCTCATAAAGTACTTGGGGTATATTATTTTATGGATAACATTAAAAAAAATACTCCCTCCACTCAATTTAGTTGGTGTAGTTTGACTCAACACTAAGTCTAAGAAAGAAAAAGAAACTTTTAAAACTCGTGGTTTAAAAAGTGCTATGAGATTTCTGCGACTACAAAGTAAAATTAACAATTTAAAACTTAATTATCTCTACTTTAGGAATGTTACCGCTATGAAGAGCATATATGTAACGACCCGACTTGTCAGTTTGAGAATTGACATCTCGTTCAGTGGCTTAAGGTCCAGAGCAGATTCGTATTGTGAATTATAACTTGCGTGTGTGGTCGAGTTTGGTTTTCGGATGATTCAGGATTAAATTGAAAGAACAAATTCTAATTCTTGTAGCTTAAGTGAAAAGAGTTGACCGAAGTTTGACTTTTATGCAAACGACTCCAGAATGGAGTTTTGATGATTTCAATAGCTCCATATGGTGATATCATGTAACGACCCGGCCAATCGTTTTGAGTATTACAACCCCGTTTCCCCATTTACTGCTCAAATTCTGATTTGCGATTGATATTTGACTTGCCGGGGTAATTGGTTCGGGGCCGGTGAGGTTTTGGAATGATTTGGAACACTTAGTTCCAAGCTTTAAAACTTAAGTTAAAAAGGTTTTGTGGTGCCGATGTAGATTAATTAGTACAAAGGTTATAGAAATTTCTTGCGGCGAGGTTGTGAGCCACGACTCAGACTTTTTGGGTTGAACAATGCACTGTGGAGTAAAGAAAAATTTTCGGCAAAAGAGGGCATTTCTGCGGCCCACTATGCGGTCGCAGAATAACTCTGCGGACCGTATAATGGCCGCAGAGTGAAGCAGATATAAGGCAAGATTTGAGAAAAATCTGCGGAGTATTATGCGACCGCAGACCTGTTCTACGATGCGTTATGCGATCGCAAAACAGGTATGCGGGCCGCATAATCACCGCAGACCTAAACAGGCGAACCTCGTTTTGGAGGTTCAATTACGCGGTCAGTTTGCAGACCGCATACGTGTTATGCGATCGCAAATCTGCGTCGGGCTTCAAATCTTTCTAATTTTTTACCCGATCCAACTTCAATTTATATCCCTTGAAGCTCAATTTAGAGCAAATATCTAACATTTTTAGAGAGAAGGGAGAGTGTTCTAGAGAGAGAAAGAAGCTCGACTGCTTTGTTCATTAAGATCTTGTTTAAGCTTTGAAATCCAACAAGAAAATATCACAAGATCTTCACCCAAGAGGTAAGGTTCTAACTCCTAGTCTTCAATTTCGAGTTTGGGTAAAGATGGCTGATTAAGAGTATGATTCTTGGGTGTAAGGGTATTGTTTATACGTCTCAATAAGGTTTATCAAAAAATTGTTGAGTTCAAATGGGTAAAGATTGGGTTGAAAATAGTAGAAATCTTCAAAGATTTTAATTGAAGATTTGACGGTCGAGTTGATGTCGGAATTTGATAAAATTTGTACAGTTGGACTCGTAGTTGGATGAGCGTTCATATTTTATAATTTGTCAGGTTCCGAGACGTGGGCCCCACATGTAATTTTTGAGTTAATTTTGGATTTTTATTGAAAAATTAGTATTTCCTTATGGAATTAATTATAATAATTGGTATTGACTTAATTGAATTAATTGTGGCTAGATACGAGGCTTCTGGAGACCATTTCTCATGGCAAGGCATAGCGGAATAAAGAATTACACGGTTTGAGGTAAGTAACAGTTCTAAATTTGGTCCTGAGGGTATGAAACCCCGAATTATGTGTTATGTGATTGGTTTGAGGTGACACACATGCTAGGTGACGGGCGTATGGGCGTGCACCATAGGAATTGTGACTTGGTCAAATTCTATGAAACTGTATAGGTGAATAATCTGTTGATATCCGTACATTCTCTACGTGTTAGAGAAAAATTGAGCTGAGACTCGTATTAAAAATCATGATTAGGCATATGTTGTTATTGTTGGTACCCATTGGGGTCATTTCTGTGGTTGAATTATATGTTCAAATTGTAATTTCACACTCAGTCATGTTTATTCATTTCATATCATATCTCAGTCTCTATTGTTCCTTACTGATGCATCATATCATTGCTGTTTTGGCTGATTTTTCATGATTATTGATAGCCCGAGAGACTGGAGAGATTTATGACTGAATGAGGTCTAGGGCGTGATTGTGAGATATTGATAGTATTGCACGTGAGTTGTCCGTGCAGATCCATATATTATACTATAGCACGTGAGTTGTCCGTGTAGAACGTGAGTTGTCCCTGTGGATCCAGATATTATACTATAGCACGTGAGTTGTCTATGTAGCACGTGACTTGTCCGTGCGGATCCAGATATTTGATATTATAGCACGTGAGTTGTACGTGCGTATTACAGCGCTTAGGCTGAAGGAGCCCCTCCGGAGTCTGTACACCCTCAGTGAGCGCATGTACATATTGAGTGTGAGTACTCAGGGCTGAGAGCCGAGTGATTCAGTTGTTGTGATGAGTTTTGTGACTGTTGCCCCGCGAGGTTGTTCTTGTTGTTCATTTGTTATTGCACTTAGTTGCTATCTGTCATTGTTGTGAAATTTCTGAAAGATTTTATATTCGGATTACCTGAACTTGAACTGTATAAAACTGATTTGACTTAAATTGTCGTATTTGAAAGCATGTCTATTCTTTGCTAGAACTACTGAAAATGAACTATAATTATGTAGCTCATCACTATCTTCAGTTCCTTAATTATTATTGTTACTTACCGAGTTGGTTGTACTCACGCTACACCCTGCACTCCATGTGCAGATCCTGGTATTTCCGTTCACGAAGGATGTTGATCTCGTGCGTGGTTGAGTATCTGAAATTCACGAGGTAGATACCGGCGTTCGCAGTCCTTGTCTCTCCTTCCTCGTTATCTTTTCTTTTCTGTATTGGTATTTTGACACAGACTCTTGTAGACACTATTTCTTAAACTGGTTGTTTAGATGCTCATGACTTGGTGACACCCGATGTTGGGGATATTTTTCCGCACTGTAACTTGAGTTTATCTTTTGTGAAACATAGGAAGTGTCTCTGAGAATCGGCTTTCCTAGTACCATCGATATGCGCCATCACGACAGGTTAGGAATTTGGGTCATGACAAGTTGGTATCAGATCCTAGGTTATATAGGTCTCACGAGTCATGAGCAGGTTTAGTAAAGTCTTGCGGATCGGTACGGAGACGTTTGTACTTATCTTCGAGAGGATGTCGAACCCTTAGGAAAATTTCACTTTCTTGTATTCTATCGTGCGAACTTGTTGATTCCGGAAAAACTAAGATTATGTTATTCTATTCTTTCATAGATGGTGAGAACACGTACTATCGGATCAGACGGTCAGCCACCAGTGCCACCAGTTAGGGCTGCGAGAGGCCGGGGCCTTGGTAGAGGTCGGGGCCGAGGTGTAGCTCATACCACAGTTGTACCATCACCTATAGTACCACCAGTTGCTCCAGATCAGGAGAAGATTCCATATATAGCTAAGCCGACAGGACCAGCTCAAGCACCAGCTGTGACCATTGAGATTCGGCCTCCATTATTTAGCGGTGGTAAGTTAGAGGATGCTCAGGGCTTTCTGTATAAGTGTTAGATGATGCTTCGAACAACGGGTATTCTGGAGATCAGTGGGGTCTCGTTCACTACTTTTCAGTTTTCTGGGAATGCTTTTAGATGGCGGGAGGCCTATGAGAGGCGCATGCTGGTCCGTGAAGTACCACTTACATGGCAGGAGTTCTCTATTCTCTTTTTGGAGAAGTTCGTGTCGCAGTCTCGTAGGTAGGAGCTGTGTAGACAGTTTGAGCAGCTTCGGCAGGATGGCATGTCGGTGACCCAGTACGAGATGAGGTTTTCTGAATTGGCTCGTCACGTAGTTTGGTTGGTTCCCACTGATAGGGAGAGGATTAGGAGGTTCATTGATGGCCTAACGTATCGGCTACGATTGCTTATGGCTAGAGAGAGGGTATCTGGTGCCACTTTTGACGAGGTGGTTAGCATTGCTTGACAAATAGAGGTGGTCCGTAGCCAGGGGCGTAGTGACAGAGAGGCTAAGAGGCCTTGAGGTTCGGGCGGTTTTGGTGGGATACCTTCTGGGGGACAGTCCTACCACAACAAGGGTCGTCCTTATAGGCCCGCTAAGACGACTCATCCAGCTCATCATGGTACATCAGCTAGCCACGATTCTTACAGTACTTACTCAGGACTATCTTTATTCAGTGCACTACCAGCGCAGAGTTCTCATCATGCCTTGTCTGCTCAGGCTTCTACAGGTAATTCCTCGGGTTATCAGGAGCAGCATTTCTATCAGATGAGAGGTTGTTTCGAGTGTGGAGAATTGGGTCATTTCAAGAGATATTTTCCTAGACTATTGAGTGGGGCTCCATAACAGAGTTCTCGACCGACGGCACCAGTACTAACAGTTCCACCACCTGCCCAGCCAGCTCAGGGAAGGGGTCAAGCATCTAGGGTCGCACAAGAGGGTGAGACCGATCAGGTGGCGGTCATGCCCAATTTTATGCTTTTTCTGCCAGGCCAAATGTTGTTGCCTCAAATACAGTAATCACAGGTATTGTCTCAGTGTGTCATAGTGAGGCTTCTAGATTATTTGACCCTAGTTCTACTTATTTGTATGCGCCAT